CTTCCAACTCTATGATTCTATGATTCTATGATTCTATGGCATCATGCACTATGTGTACAGCCGCACAGCATCAGGACAACATCGGGGTGGAGTTGGGGTGGCCGGCGTGCATCTGCCCTGCCCCAACTCTACTCCCAGGCCAGCCCTTTGGGCCGGTCTGCAATGGCCCTATGATGAGGAAAGCCATCCTGGTGGAGAAGAGGGTCACCATGGCCATCTGGGTACACACCCACAAAGTCAGCTACAAGCAGTCCTCAGAGCAGTTGTGGCCTTACAATGTTTAAAGAAGTGTTGGTGGAGTTCACTCTCAGCATGGAGAAGCTGCTGCTGACACTGACGGTGTACCTGGGAGATGCTGCTTAGGTAAGGAAAGTTGCATACACTTGTCCCTTTTCCCTCCTTCGCAGAATGCATCATGAGTTGGCACACAGTATGGCACTTACTGTATAGAATAGGCTGTTAAGTTCGCTATCCCTGTGCACATATGCAGAAAGCAACATGAGTTGGCACACAGTATGGCATTTCCTGTATAGAATAAGCTGTTAAGTTCACTATAGATGTATACATATGCAAAATACTTCATGAGTTGGCATACAGTATGGCATTGACTGTATAGAATAGGCTGTTAAGTTGACTATACCTGTGCACCTGCACTGATCCCTTCATGAGGGGAGGGGTGTTGGCTGCATGACTACAACCACCATGGCTTTCCTGTCCTCTCCCCCCCACTTCCCATAGCAGCTTCCTAAATGGTGCCTCCCCCTTTCACAGGAGGTCCTGCTGAAGAAGAGTAGCCTGGCCTAAGCTGCCACTTGGCAGGAGGGGAAGGGCAGGAGCCCTTTGAGGTCTCCTACTTGGCTGAACTTCAAGGAAGCCAGGAGCAGGACCATCAGCCAGGTAAGAGTATCAGGGAAATTGTGGGGGGGAGGGAGGGGGGGCACCCAGGAACCCTGGCTGTGGTATTGGGTGTGGGGTGCAGAGCAATCTCCTAACCACACTTTTCTTTCCCCTTGCAGATCAACATCTGGAGGAAAGGGTGGCTACCATTGAGGCCCAACTGAAGCAAGTCCTCAACATAGTGGTAGCCATCCTAGACTGGCTCAGTCCCCCTCCCCCTCCCCCTCCCCTCCTCTTCCCTTGTACATATTTCCTTCCTGCCCCTCTCCTTCTTCTCCCCAGTTGTACATGCTCCCTCCATTTGTAAATAGTTGAAACATTGTGGTTTCATATTTTTAAAAAATCTGTGCACCTGCACACGACCAGCACAGGCTGTCATTTTTGTGAATAAACTTTCCATTTTTAAACCTTCTGACATTTTCTGCACATGTGTGCATGTTCAACTCAGGATCACTGCAGGGAACCAGTGAGGAGAATGAATGAGGTGGGCATGGGAGGGTAGGAATGAGTGAGGTGGGCATAGTGGGGGTAGTTGGTGGTGGCTGCCTTGCTCTTTTCTGGTGATCATCACAACATCTCCTTCTCCCTCTACTTGCTCTCTGCCTTTGGGGTGGCGAGAGGGCTGTGACACTCCTACATCACTGCTGAAGAGGATGGCAGACTCGCCTATGGGATCTCCACCTCCATAGCAACCCTCTCCTCCAAGGCTGGGAGGCTGCCCCCCTTCCTCTGCCCAGCTCCACAGCCTCCTCCTCCAGGGCCAGGGGGTGCCCCTCCTTCTTCCACCCTCTTGCACACCATCCCCTCTGCCACCAATGCCCCTGTGGGACCCCTTTATGACTTCCACTAGCTCGGCCAAGGTGGCAGAGGGGAATGGATCTCTCTAGCAACTGCCTCCACTGCTCTGCCTGCCTCTCCCTGAGCTGATAGTAACATCCTCCCTATTCCAGGAGTCTCTCCATTTGGTTTCTTCTGCATTCCATGAAGCGATGCAGGGCAGTAGTAATTGTTGCAGCTGCTGAGTGATGCACCCTCTTCTGTCTGATCTCAGCCAATGGCATAACAGCTCTGGGATTAGCTGTTTCTCCTTCTGTCTCTCATCCTACTTTTTGTTTTATGGGACATATATGACACAGGGCACAATTTACACACAAAACATGTCCCACAGAAATGGGGGGGGGAGGGGAGAGGTACATGCAAGGGAGGTTTGTGTGGATAGACTGGATACATGCAGCTGGTGGCCATGCAAAGGACATGGTTGACAGAACACACAGACAAATGTTCCTCTACAAGCCCCCCCCCCCCAGCATGCCAAGATGCAAAAGTAGTGTGCAGGTCTTATGTACACTTGTGCACCTGCATGGAAGACGTCACAAAAGCCATACAAACTGGTATGCTTTTGAGTGCAAACATACATGCGATTGAATGAATTTATTATAATAACTGGGAATGACTTTACCATGTGCAACCTGGACCTGATGGATCAGCTGGTGAATTAAATGCCCTCTCCTCACCCTCACTGTCATCCTCAGTTGCTGCTGTACTGGTCTGTGGGACAGGTGAGAGGTTATGGTAGCTACTGATTCTGGAAGATGTAGTGCTCCCCTCCATAGCATGAGATGGTGTTCTGCTCATAGAAGATGTAGAGGCACAGGATGGTGGTCTCATGGCGGAGATGTCCACAGCCCTCTGACTGCAGGATGTCTCGTCTGAGTCAGGGTGTTCATCCTGGTCATGTAAAGAACAAGGGATGGAGTCATCTCTGCTCTCTGCCCACCCTAGTGCTGTCCCCGGCAGCCCTTCCCAGGGGTCCTGGCACATCTTACCTGCAAAGGGTATCATTCTGCCTCAGAGATGTCCTCCACAGTTTCCACTCTGTCTGGCTGGCTGACTGGGACCCTTACAATGTCACTACTAGTACATATTCTGCTGGGTCATATGCTACCATCCTTGGCAAGGAAGGCATAGAGTTCCTTGTAGAAGAGCATGGTGGAGGGATCCCATCCACTTTTGGCCTTGTGATCCCTAAACTTCTTGTAATCTCCCCTGAGATTTTTGGTCTTCTGAAGACACTTCTCCCAAGTGCGTTGGTGGCCCTCATGTCTTCTGCCACCTTCTTTAAATGTTTCAGAATTCAAGAAGGAATTTCTCAATTTCTCCAGAATATGTGGCTGTGACCACAGAGCTATCAGATCAGAGGTTTCCACAGGGGACCACGACATCCCTCTCCTTTTTTTGATTCGCCGCTTGTAGATGGCT